ATTCACTTATTGTTACTTTTTTAGTTCATAGCATTTTATGTATACTCTGACTGTTGTTAGGGTCATCAAGTCAGTTCTGACTCATAGCGACCTTGTATAGGGTTTCCAAGGAGCGGTTGGTGAGTTTGAACCCCAACCTTGTGGTTCAAACCAGCACTGGACTGCAAACCACCAGGCACTCCATAAGAGAAAGATGTGGCCGTCTGCCCCCGTAGGGAGTCAGTGTCTGAGACCCCGTGTGCATCCTCCTCTGCTCTGCAGGGTCATTGCGAGTCGGAATCGACTCCATGGTTGTGTGTTTGGTTTGGTGGGACCTTGTGGGTGAATGTACCTTCAAAATAAAAATTAGAATCAACAGAAAACCGAGACTTTTGTCACGAGGTCTGTGCACTACCAATATGTACAAATTAGTTCAGCGGCTTATATAGCAAATTCAACCAGATTCAAGGACTAACGCTTCATTCTTAAGCAGAAATCCAGGCTGGTTCATTATCATTTTTAAAATAATTTTTTTAAAATTATTTTTTAAATAAAAAAATAAGTAAAGCTTTATGAAACAGAAAATAGGTAAGTTAAACACAAAAAATTTATCCAGAGTTAGCCTTCCAACAGAGCATTAGATTTCTAACACCAGGAGGAGAATGTCGCTCAGTTATGGGCTGTTTTTATTACAGAATTCACTGAGAGCAACTTTCCTTGTCAAGTCATCTACGTCATCATCCCTAACAACTGGTCAATATTCAGCATGTAAACATCCCAGAATGCCCTTGGCCAGCGCTTCAGTGTTCACCCAGGGGCTTTCCGAAGATTTGCTTGTGTGCACAACACAGCCATGAACAAACATCCTCTCCACACATCAAACTGAGTTTGTTCAATTGCTTCCTCCGGATAAGTTCCCGCAGACACAAAGGGCGGTAAGAAGGTTCTTCATGAATGGGTGCTAGACTTTTAATCAGAGAGGAGCTGGAAAGACAGGAAAGAAAGCCGGAAGCCTGTGGGCCACCTCCCCATACCTGGGCACCAACAGTCCCAGAGGCAGATTTACCAGTTCATTCCTCTCATCTGCCAGGAGGGTGTTTCTGTCTTCCAGCTTCCGTATCACCGAATTCAGCTCAGCAATTTTCAGCTGAAAGCGTCTCACATCCCGCTCGTCCATATGCTGATCCTAAACAGTAGAGATACAAAGGCACTGGTGAGAAGTAGGACACAAAATGCTTTGAAAAAGCTCAAATGATCCCAAACACCTGGGAGGCTTTCTTATAAAATTCATGTGAAGATGTGCAGGTGAGAACTTTACTGGGAGGCTCTTAGCCTTGCAGGGCCTTCCTGAAGCCATGGAATGTGGACAGCACTCAGCCCTGGCAGACTTGCCAAGAGACTTCAGAAACTGGTTCCCTAGCATCTTAGAACAGCACATGGCAACCTTCATGACTGAGCTCCCGCTCCCTCCATCTCCTACTAACCCAGGCAACCTAGAATAGTCCTTGAGAGCTGGGACTACATCCACTATGCTTACCACTGAAGCTCACCCACCCAAATCCACTGCCGTCCGATCGATTCCGACTCATAGCAATCACATAGGATAGAGTAGAACCATCTCTCACGGTTTCCAAGGTTCTCATCTTTACAGAGGCAGACAGTCACAGCCTCTCCTTGGAGCCGCTGGTGGGTTCTAACTGCTGGCCTTTCAGTGAACAACCCAAGTTTGAAAGCCATCACGGCTCCTTCACCACTGAAAGGCCGACCCATAGCACAGCATCCACACAAAGCAGACACTCACTTGAACGTCTACTGAATGAATGAAAGGAAGAATGGAGAAGTGCTGTTCAGCCTCTCTGTTCCTTTGCTAAGCTCCAATCTGTTGCCAAAATGCCCTGCCCTTCTCTCCCCATTCTGCAAGCTGTGACTTGAAGCCATTTCCCTAATGGGCTGATTCCTTTCGGGGTTCCTGCTGTGCCCATACTGATGTCTTCATCTCTTTCTTCTCAACTGAGCTCTGAAAGCCCAAAGGCCAGAACAGCCAGCATCTCAGCTCTGCTCTCAGAGCCTGGCGTGGGCCTGACAGAGAATGAGCACTAGCCAATTAATGAAGGAAGGGGTAATGGAGTGAGAGATGACTGGCAGATGGATGGGTGGATGGACTGTTGGATGGAGAGAAGGGAGGACTGATGGTGGGATGGAGGGAAGGAAGAACTGATGAATATATGATAGGTAGATGGGAGGACTGATAGATTGATGGATGGATGAATGAAGGGAGGAAAAAAAGGACAGATGAGTAGATGGACAGACAGAGGGGAAGAAGGATGGACAAAGTGATGGATAGAATAGTGGTTGGAGGGAGGGAAGGAAGAACTGGTAGATGGATGAATGGAGGGATGGAAGGAAGGATGAATGGATGGATGAACAGATGAAGGGAGAGGGACGATGGATAGAGTGGTGGACTGAATGGTGGATGGAGAGAGGGAATAAAGATCTGATGTATAGATGGATGGATGAGTGAACAGAAGGATGGACGTAGGAACTGATGAACAGAGTGGTGGATGGACTGGTAGAAGGAGGGAGGGAAAGGAGAACTGATGGATGGATGGATGAACAGATGGAGGTAATAAGACAGAAAGGAAGGTAAGGACTGATGAATAGAGTAATGGATGGATTGATGGAAGGTAGGACTGGTGGATAGATGGATGGATGGATGGATGGATGGATGGATGGATGGATGGATGAACAGAGGGATGTAGAGGGGAAACTGATCAACAGAATGATGGATTGACTGGTGGAGGGAAAGAGGGAAGGAAGAACTGATGGATAGATGGATGGATGCTTGGATGGATGGGTGGGTGGATGGATGGGTGAGTGGATGAACTGATAGAGATGAAAGAAAAAAAGAGAGGACTGATGGATGGAAGGAAGGATTGATGGACAGACAGATGGATGGGTGAAAGGGTGGAAGGGAGAGAGGGGAGTGGGGTAGGAAACAGGAGGATGAGTCAGGGCAGCTGGAAGGCTGTGGTTGGTTGGCAGAATGAAGGCAGTAGTGGGCGGTGGTCAGTCTGAGCATTCCTAGCCTAGCCCCACCTGGCCACTCATGAGCTCTGCCATGTCTCCGATGCCCGGTGGGAGCTCCTTCTTGGGACTGCCGTGGTGCCGCTCAGTCCCCTTGACCTGGACCAGTTGCTCATCCAGTGCCTCCTTCTGAAGGAGCAGCTTCTGGGCCTGGCCTGTCTGTACCCCCAGCTCCTTCTCCAGAGCCAGGATCACACGGTCTTTTCCTTTGATCTCCTCCATCTGGGAATTAGAGAAAGCAAGTCAGCCCAGGAAAGGTGAAGATCACCTGAGCCATGCCACTGACCTCTGTCGGGCAACAGCAGATGAGACCCGCCCCCTTCACACCCACACAGCAGCAGGTCTCTCACACCTCAGTGACATAACACCAAACCCTCACCCTTGTTCTCCCACCTCCCTCAAAGCAGCGTCTTCACTGGGTTGGGTCTCCCATCTCCATTCCCACCGCCTCAGTCCCCCAGGGAACAGCCGCCTCCCTGCACCAAGCTGCTCGGGCAAAGCTCACCTTGCCACCAAAGCCAGGGGCATGTCCTTCCTGTCTCACTGTCGCCCCCAGACTCTAGAAATGTCCACTCCTATGTCATTGGTCTCTCAGTTCAAGATACCACACATTAATTCTCCATCTCTATCTTCCTCAGAGCTTTGCTTGCTCTGGCCACCATTGAAGGTTGGGGTCCCCAAGTCCTGGTCCTCATCTCCCTGGGTCCTTCCAGGTACCTTCCATGCCCTTGTCCTTGTGTGCCCCCCACCATCCTCATCTATAGGCTGGCTCCTCCACGTTTCCTCACCCATGTTGTCTCCCTCACACACACACCCTTTCTCATGTTCTGTCTTTCCCCCACCACCCCACCAAGTCCCTGACATTGTGCTCCCTCACCCGTCCTCACCCAAGCATTACTCTCCATCTTTGCTCTGCTGGCCATCCCACATCCTCACCCATGTCCTGTCCGCCCACATCCTCACCCATGTGATAGCTTCCACCTGTAGCAGACATTGATGTCCTCCAACCATGACTTCACTGCTTCACTGAGACCCAAACTCAGAACCACGTGGTTGCTTGAGTCTCAGATCCTGAGTACCAGATCTCTACACTCATGAACCCAGATATCTACATGAGTAAGCCCACATATGTGCGAACCCACAGCAAGGATCTGAACCTCTACATGGCTGAACCCACACATGTGTGAACCCACACCAAGGACCTGGAAATTTGCATGGATGAACCCACACATCTGTGAGCTCACATGGAAGACCTGAACCTCTACAGGGGTGAACCTATACATGCGTGAGCCCACACCAAGCCCATACACATGTGAGTCCACACTAACCCCTCCAGGCCTGCCCAGTGTCCAGCACCCTGGGGAGAGTGTCTCACAGAGGACATGAATGAAAACAGGAGTTAGTGACCTTGGGATGGACAAACCTAGAGGTCACTGAGACCACCAAGGCCCTCAGCATCCACCTCACACAAGCCAGCAGTAAGGAAACTCTGATACAAATGGAGATGTCCCCACATGAGGGTTTCATTATAAACAAAGGTCAAACAGCGTCTCTATGGTGGCCCCTCTTTCCGATGTCGTCCTGAGATTTAGGAATAAATTCTATGTAAAAGGAGGTATATAAGAAAGTCCTGAGAGTAACTGTCAGCAAGGCAGTAAACCCTGGAGTCTGGGTTTACACACTACCATTGAATGATGCAGAAATCATCAAATGAAGATTGCAGGAATACACAGAGTCACCGTACCAAAAAGAAATGGTCAGTGATCAACCATTTCAAGAGGTAGCATATGATTAAGAGTCAATGGTACTGAAGGAAGAAGTCCAAGGTGCGTTGAAGGCATTGGCAAAGAACAAGGCACCAGGAATTGATTGAACACAAATTAAAATCTTTCAACAAAGTGAGGGGGCACAGGAGGCACTCACTTATCTCTGCCAAGGAATTTGGAAGACAACTACCTGGTCAACTGATTGGAAGAGATCCATATTTGTGCCCATTCCAAAGAGAGGTGACCCAGTAGAATGTGGAAATCATAGGACAATATCATTAATATCGCATACAAGTAAAATTTTGCTAAAGATAATTTAAAAACAGCTCCAATAGTACATTGACAAGGAACTGCCAGAGGTTCGAGCCGGATTCAGAAAAGGTTGTGGAATGAGGAATAGCATTGCTGATGTCCGATGGATCTTGGCTGAAAGCAAAGAATACCAGAAGGGTACTTACCTGTGCTTTATTGACTATACAAAGGTTTCCTATTGTGTGGATCATGACAAACTATGGACAACATTGCAGAGAATGAGTATTCCAGTACACTTAATTGTGCTCATGACGAACCTGTACATACATCTAGAGACAGTTGTTCGAACAGAACAAGGGAACACCAAATGGTTGAAAATTAGGAAAGGTGTGTGCACCAGGGTTGTATTCGTTCACCATACTTACTATGAGCAAATCTGTATGCTGAGCAAATAATCTGAGAAGTTGGATTATATGAAGAAGTATGTGGCATCAGAACTGGAGAAAGACTCGTTAACAACCTGCACTATGAAGATGGTACAGCCTTGCTTGCTGAAGTGAAGAGGGCTTAAAATACTTTTTAATGAAAATCAAAGACCACAGCCTTCTGTATGGTTGGTACCTCATTGTAAAAAAAAAAAAAAGAAAAATTCTCACCACTGCACCAATAAATAACATCAAGATCAATGGAGAAAAGATTGAAGTTGTCTAAGACTTCATTTTGCTCAGATCAACCATCAACACTCATGGAAGGAGCAGTCAAGAAATCAAATGACAGATTGCATTATGCAAATCTATTGCATATGACTTCTTTAAAGTCTTCAAGAACAAAGATGCCCGTTTGAGGACTAAGGTGTGCTTGACCCAAGCTATGATATTTTCAGTAACCTCATATGCATGTGAAAATTGGACAATGAATAAAGAAAACTGTAAAAGAATTGATGCTTTTGAGTTATGGTGTTGGAGGAGAATATTGAAAGTACCATGGGCTGCCAAAAGAACCAACAGATCTGTGTTGGAAGAAGAGCAGCCAGAGTGCTCTTTAGAAGTAAGCATGGCAATTGTCTTTCATACTCAGACATTTTATCACCAGGGATCAGTCCCTGAAGAAGAACATCGTGTTTGATAAAATGGAGGGTCAGAGACAAAGAGGAAGACCCCAATTAGCTGGATTGGCACAGTGGCAGCAGGAATTAGTTCAAGCATAACAACAGTGTGAGGAGGTGCAGGACTGGGCAGTCTTTCATTCTGTTGTCCGAATGGTCACTATGAGTTGGAACGGTCTCGGTGTCACTTAACAACAACCATGAGTTCCATGCACTCCAGAAACCAGAATTCAGCAATCATTCTCCAGTTCCCAATGTTTCATGCCCACCCTGAGAGATGGCAGAGGCTGACTGACTACTGCAAGCCCCTGGCAAGCCCCTTTGTCTGGGGAAACTGGACCTCAGCCCACATTGGGTCCCCCAAGGCTCCCAGGGAGGAAAGTGACCTGCCGCTCTCTTCTCCCTCAGAAGGTTACTTCTTCCACTTCAGGGTTTTAGCCCGACGTGGTGGATGTTTGCAAACTATGATTTTCCTCTCCTTGAACAGCCCTCTGTTCCCAACTCCCAGCGCTCCAAAGTGCTCTCAGAGGGTTGGTTTATGGCCTACCCATCACCTGTTTGGTGGTCCACACCGAGGGAAAAGAAAGGAAAGGTGAAGGGGTGCGTACCAGCCGGCGGATGTCACGCTCGCTCTCCCGCTTGGTGCGCTGCACCTCGTCCTGGTGCGCCTGGTAGGCGGCGCGCAGGTCAGCGGCCTTGGCCTTGTCCGCCTGCACGCAGGTGCTGAGCGCCTCCTCCGCTTGCCGGCGCGCGGTCTTGAGCTCCAGGATCTCCTGCTGCAGCCGCAGGCGCTCACCATCAAAAGCCCTGCGCGCCTCGTCTCGCGCCTCAGCCAGCAGCGCCGTCTTGACCTTGTCGGCCGCGCCATCGCGCAAGAGTGTCAGCGTGGCTTGCAGCCGCTGCAGCTCGCCCTCCTTGATCTTGGCTGCGCGTGCCGTCTCCTGCTCGTGCTGCCGGATGAGCGCCTCGCGCAGCGCTTGCAACTCGCGCGTCTTGTCCTCGTGCAGCTTGGCACGCAGCTCGGACAGGAAGGCCGTGTGCCGCCGCTGCTCCTGCTCCCGCTCCAGCCGTGCCTCCTGCAGCCGCTCACGCAGCTTGCCCACCTGCGGCGGGAGGGGACAGAGGCAGAGAAGGGGCCAGAGGTGCAGTAAATGTTGGGAGCAGGGTCTGGGGTCAGGAGTCAAGAGGAAATGGACACTCTAAGCCCCTGCCCAGGTGGTGACGTCAGCACACGCCCAGTCTGCGTGTGAGCCCAGGTCCAGGTTCTATAGGTCAGAAAGCCCCACCATGCTGACCTTCACATCACAGCTGTGCTCTAAGTGGGCACCCGTGGCTGTCGGGTCCAGTCTGGTGGTGTGTTGACCCGCACAGCTGCTTCTCGAACATCTCTGTTCCAAACCCTGGTCCAGCCAACATGCCATTTCTGTCCAGCAGATGTGGACATGTGGGGGCAGGGCTCACACTGACCAGTCTCTGTACACAATGAGGACAACCCCATGTCCACTAGGGGTACATGGAGGCCCAGGGAGGCTGGTGCCCATCTATGGCCCCTGCACACAGACCCTAACCCCTCAGGACCAGCCCCTGTGCACACCTTACTCTTTTCCTGCTGGAACTCCACCTGGAGGCTGGTCAGCTTGGCCCGCAGCTCCTCATTGGCAGCCTGCATGGCGTCGGACTCCATCTCCGGCTTCTCGCCCTTGCTCCGGCCTTTCTTCGACATGCTTCCCCTCAGGGACAGGTCAGATCCTACAGTGGGCGTGGGGACAGCTCCGGGCGCTAACCGGTGGCGCAGGCTTCAGCTCGCTCCTCTGCCACCGCATCAGCCACCATCACTTGGTACCCTGGGGAGGAAGGGAGCTGTCAGCAGAGAGGCAAGCCTGGTGTCATTACCTGGGACTCTCCAAACAGGTGTGCTGAGGCCTCCCACCTTGTGCCAAATGCTTGCCATCAGCAAAACTCTGGCCTGGCACTTCTCCGACCTGAGCTGCTAGAGGACCACCAGGAAGCCGGTGAAGAGCTGAGTCCCCACCTGCCCACCATGGGCCACACCTGGAATCACCTGGGACACACCTGGATTCACCTGGGACACACCTGGAATCACCTGGGACACACCTGAAATCACCTGAACCACACCTGGAATCACCTGGGACACACCTGGAATCAACTGGGACACACCTGAAATCACCTGGGACACACCTGGAATCACCTGGACCACACCTGGAATCAACTGGGACACACCTGAAATCACCTGGGACACACCTGGAATCACCTGGACCACACCTGGAATCACCTGGGCTGCACCTGGAATCTCCTGGGGCACACCTGGAATCACCTGGGACACACCTGGAATCACCTGGGATGCTCCTGGAATCACCTGGAATCACCTGGACCACACCTGGAATCACCTGGGACACACCTGGAATCACCTGGGATGAACCTGAAATCTCCTGGCCCAGCACTGAGAGGAGACTGCACCACTTGGCAGCCTGCACAACTCAGTTGGCCTCAGTCACTGGGAGCGTGTTTCAAATGCAAGACTCTGGCTTCACCCCCAGAGCTCGATAAAGCACAGGGGCATGTGATGGGTCAGGAGGGTTCCCATCACCCCCAAGGGATTCTGAGGGCCATTCAACGAGAAGCTTTCTCTTAGACTTTACAAAGGTTATAGTTCTCCCGTTCTTCCATGAGCACAGTCCTGGTGACCTTGGGTCAGCATGACACTGGGGTTCCCTCCCCAGGCCTTTAAGCCCCATTGCAGCACCCCCACAGACAATGTCTTGCTGAGTAAGTGTGCTCGTTCGGTCCAGCTATCTAACTCCAAATCAACTATACTGACTTTAAAAGTATCCCTCCCCCAGCTTTAGTAATAACCTCTTGGGAATTTATTCCAAGGAAATAACTCCCAAAAAGGAAAAGCCATACGCCTAAAGATGTTGCGTGTGGCACTATTTAATTGATAGCAATTAAAACCTGGAAATAACTTAAGGACCTGAAAGTCAGGAGGTGTCCAAGGAACAAGGAGCATGCAAGGAAAGATGCTGAGCAGTGCTGGTCGGTGGGGCAGAGCGAGGCAAGGACCCTACCTCCCCATGGGAAACGGCGCTCTTTGTCCCACCCACATCTGGCAAATTTTAAGCTTTATTCGAAATCCTGTGTGTGTTAGTTACCTAGTGCTTCTGTATCAGAAGGGAGGGCTGTTGGTGCAGTGGGTTGACTGTTGGGCTGCTAACCACAAGGTTGGCAGTTCAAACCCACCAGCCACTCCACAGGAAAAGGATGAAGCTATCTGCTCCCACAAAGGTTTGCAGCCTCAGAAACTTTATTCAGGGTTGCTATGAGTTGGAATCAACTGGATGGCAATAGGTCTCCTGTAACAGAAATACCTCAGGTAACTGGCTTTAAAGAACAGAAACAGGTTTTCTCACAGTTCTGGAGGCTGGAAGTCTGGTTTGAAGGGCGGGCCTTCCTCGTCAGTCATCGCAGGAGTGCCTTGGCAAGAGTCTCCTACCGTGTGTCAGTTCTGCTCTTTTTAGAACTCACAGGTGTCAAGTTTAGGACTCATCCTACTCTGGGATGGCTTCCTTAATATAACAAAGAAACACCTTATTGCCACACAGAATCAGATGTACAAGTGCAGGGGTTAGAATTATCGACACATAATTTGTGTTACTGCAGTTATGTGCTGTCATGTCAGTTCCAACTCAGTGACCCTGGATAGGGTTTCCGAGGAGGGTATGGTGGGTTAGAACTGCTGACCTTGTGATTAGCAGCCCAGCACTTATCCTATAATGCCACACCAACACGTATTTTGTTGTTGTTGTTAAGTGCCGTCAAGTTGATTCCAACTCATAGCGACCCTGTATAGGATTTCCGAGGAGCAGCTGATGGTTTTGAACTGTCAACCTTGTGTTTATTTGGTTGGTTTTTTTGAACTTTTAATTGTGAATTGAGTGACGATAATCAGCTTTACAGTCAACAAATCATACACTTCGTTTCATCTCAATGTTCCTGTCTGTGCAAGAACAGGTTTTCCACTTCCTCCCTGGTTCCTATTGGCTTCCACCAAACTTCCTATTCCTTCTCAACTTTGTCCTTAGTAAAATGAAAAACGTTGCCCTTTTGGTTTTGAACGGTGAGCGTGCCTTGCTAATGTTGTTGTTCTCCCCCACCCTACCCCCCCATCACCACCACCTGTAAATTTATCTATTGTTTGGCTGAAAATTGAGCCACGAGGGTGAGTTCCTTTCCAGACCTGAAGGGTGGTCAAGGGCCATGGTCTCAGCTTCCTCCAGTCTCTTTCTGACTAGTAGATCCTGTCTTCTTCTTCTATTTTTTTTTAATAATTTTGAGTTTTGTTTCACATTTTCTCCCACTCTATCTGGGATATTCTAATATGATCCCTTTCAGAACAGTTGGTAGTGGTAACTGGGCACCATCTAGTTCTTATGGTCTCAGAGTCATGGAGATTGATGTCTACAGGTTCCATTAGTCCATTGTTATTGTTGTTCAGTGTTGTTGAGTCAGTTCTGACTCATAGGGTTTCTGAGGAGCAGCCGATGGGTTTGAACTGCTGACCTTGCAGTTAGCTTATGGTTAGCAGTCTAGTACTTATCCTACAGCAACACCCCAGGACCCCATTAGCAACATTGGACTAATTGATTCTAAGCCTCTTACATTAGTATCACCAATGGAAACGCCAATGTCTGCATTTTAGACAGCCGCCCATGAGCTTTCAGGATCTCAGACACTATTCACCCAAGTAGGATGCAAAACATCATCTTTGTGGACCACGTTGTGCCAACTCACCATGGTGTCCCCCAGGACCATCAACTCATTGTCTTAGATGTTTGATAACAACTAAAAAAGTGTTCAACATCTTTCCTGCTGTATGCTTCACCACATTCATAGCTTGTGTTTGAAGAAAAGAAAAGGTAAATAAATATCCTCTTTCAAACATATATATATATCACTCTTCCTCCCTTACCCATCCAACCCAAGTCTTCTTAATCCATGTACCTGCAATAAAACACTTATTCCAAGGTTGTTTATATATCACTATTTACCTCTATTCCCTTTAACCCTTGCATACTTCCCTGTGTCTTCATCTGTCTTTATCCTTCTTCTGCCACTGTCCCTTTTCATGTGTACAGCTCTCCCATGATCTGAGCTAACATGTGTCTACCTTCTACCCAGTGAATTACTCTCCCCTCCCTCGTACCCATAGTAGCCATCAAAGAATGTTTCTTTTAATATGAAAACCTTTCCTCGGCCTTGTGGTTTGCATTCCAGTGCTTATCCTACAACTCCATACCAGAAGTCCAAACACACATTTTAGAAGGACACAATTCAATCTACAACACCATGATTGTTGTAATACTGTTTATACAATCAAGAAATACAAATAAAAAGAAGGTATTGGATTCTTCTTTGGCCTGAGCTGAAATACCAGTGATCTCACCCCACAGGCCAGCACGGGATCATTACATTGGTTCTTTGTGTCTCATTTTCCTCATTTGTAAGTCATAGGGAGCTATCTAGGAATGACCAGGGCTGACATGTGAGAGTGAGGATGGTGACCACTCCACAGAGGCAGATTGCAAGACTTCTTACTCCATAGAGTTGCTGGAGAATTGAATGACTTAGCATTTAGAACATTCTCAGTACTGTTTCTGACCTGCAGTGATGCTCAGAATATGTCAACTTCATCATCATCACCATCATCACCATCATCATCACTACCACCATCATCACCACCACCATCACCACCA